GTAGCAATTATCTAAAAATTTGCACACACTTTCTATTTAATTACAAGCATATACTACTCGTAGAGTCGTAGTATATACAAACAGATGGAAATCAGGCAATCACTTCAATTATCATAATAAAATTACAAACCTGCAAGGATCAAATTCACTAAATGTTCAAAACTCTTCATTATTATTATTATTTCTCTTCTAAGAGATACGGAGTACAAATAAGACTTTAATCAACTTATATACTTGTATCTCATAATGAACAACAAAAAAAATATTAAGAATTTTGTAGTCAATACCTGCTAGTCTGCTACCCATACATACATACCTACCATAAAACATAACCTCACAAGTCACAAGTAGATGAGCTCCTTGGAAGCATCAACAATGACCTACAGAACTCACATTCCTTCGACACTAAGTATGCTTCTTCACGTACATTTGATGCTGCATAAAATTGTACGAGTAGCTTTTCCAAAACAATTGCTTTACTCAGAATGTATGCCAGAGGCTTGAGGTCATAATCCTTGCAGTTTAGTTCCCTTATTTTTATAGTCTTGAGCTTACTTACCAAACTACCTGGAATAGAATCCGGTGCACACCAATCCGGCATAGGATCATCAAACCACCATAAAGATAAACACGCGTCAAGATGCTCTAAGTTGGGAAAGCAATGTAGTGAAGACATCAAATCTTTACAGAAATTTGTTTCAAGACGAGTTAGATTGTAAAAGATTGGCAGATTCACAGGATTACGATTTCTGAATACATTGATCTGAATATTATCTGGGTTCGGCACAAGGTGGGTAACACTAGACATTCCTCTAACAAACTTGATCATCTGGCACATATAATTTTCGCTCTCCTCATCGTCTTGCCATGCATTAGCGTTAATACAAGATTTGACTAATGTAATTGGATTCCGGAGAAAGTAATAAATTGAGTTGCAATCCTCAATTCAGAGGTTCACCAATTTGGGTGCATGAATAGATACTCTAGTGCGCTGTGGCAATTCCTGGTGCAAAATTTCCATATCTATAGACAATGACTTCAAATTGGGAGCAATTATATTCACAACAGTACAAGACAAATCCGAATATGAACCTAGAATGAAGAATTAATCCAAAAGTTCTAAAACTGGGGAAGACCTAATTAGAGTCTCCAAGAATCCAACCAAAGAGGGATATCATCAAGATAATCTATGATAAGTTTTTTCAAATTAGGCAGATGAAAATGCAAATCCTCAATTCTCAGCCACTGAAACAAACCGTATGAGGCAAGTAGGCAACATACTGATGCAAGTATGTTTTAGTTCCAAATGTCTAAAGCTTTTCCAAAGATTCACCTGATGCTGGTAGCAATCGGCATAGGTTCTTCTCAGCTTAATCATCCACCTTCCTGAATATGAGGGAGGATCTATTGAAGTCAACTGCAAATTATGCTCTTTCTGCAGATTGATTTAATCAACCAATACCTGAACTTCTTCAGGAGACTCAATTATTCAAGCAAACCAGGAGCTTCAAATCAAGTTGACTCTAGCCAATTTGAGACTTCATAAACAAGGCCATTCTAGTAATTTAGTCAGACAGGAGCTCCACCACCAGCTAACTCAAATTAGTCTATTACTTCACCACACATTGCCAGCCCAACTGATTTACATTACAGGTCCGAAGGTCACTAAAACAATGACATTATAGGTCCAGAAATCACTTAACCAAGCAACTTAAGGTCTCTCTTTTTACTGATCTAGAACTACTTATGCAGTCTGTAAGTGATAAGATCTCAAAATAACAGTATGGTAGAACCTGTATGATATACCTTCAAATTCCAAACTACATCATGCATATTTTTCCAATAATACACTAGAAATAAAGTGCATCAAGTTACTAAAATTCAAATGTATAAGGGTGCTACAGATTAGTACAGAAAACAGAGTGATTCAAGCAGAGCAAGAGAATTAATCAGCCAAAATATGATAGATTGTAATGCATGCAAGTCAGAGAAACCACAATACAACTCCCCTCTTTCGAGAGGAAAGGATGCTCTCCCAAAAAAATGAATCCCACAATAATTTTCTAGATACATTCCCCCTTCACAAACCTTCCTTAAATACTCAAAAATAACAAGCAGAAATAACAAACTCAGCACACAAAACAAGGACTAACAAACTTATTTCCCAGATTACCAAAAATACCCCTCCCTGTAACTAATTTCCAGCTCACTGTCCAGCTTCTATTTCCCCATCAGACTTCTGTTTGGGCCTTCTCCGAGCATATGTGAAATGCACAACTGGTCTGGGTTGATCTCTTGCAAAGGGTTTATCAAACAAAGATAAAGAAGATTGATAATAGTCATTCTATATACAGGTGATGGTCTACCATCATTTATGATAGAACAACTCCACTAAATTCAATAAGCCTTCCATGAGTCTAAGCTATACTCATTGCATCCCCAAAGATTACCCAATTTTCCTTTCTAGTTTGTCAACAAATGATGGCTCCACTTCAATATTATCAACAATGACCCTACCATCCCTCTCTACTACATTTCTTGCCCCACATAGTAAAGGGAAAAATATCTACCAACCCAATTCAACAATATTTCTATTCTCAATTATTATGCTCAAAAGCTTTAATACATCGTAGAAAAAGAGATTTTTCCCTGTTAACAATTGCAGTTATTCTAATTTGTACTGAATGTATACAACTATACATGCTTCCCAAAAAGCGGAAAAAATAAATAAGGAAAATTTGTTCAAAAGGACCACTTAAGTGGCCTCTTTTGTTCAAAAGGACCTATTAAGCCAAAAGTTGTTCAAAAGGACCAAATAACACATTTTGGGTTGTTGAGTGGGACCAAGTACTATTTTCATGCTAGTCAACGCCGCCGGACTCGGCACGTGACTCTTTAAGTTCGGTTAAAAAAAAAAATTCCCCTCATTCCACCCAGAAATCCCAATTACCCCCCTTTAATCCCATTTCTTCTTCTTTCTCTCCCCTCGAAGCTAACTGTTCATGGCTTGATCGGATCCAATTGCGCCCTCTTTCTCATATCAAAATCATCCTGAGTTAAATTGAGTACAATTCGCACAAGGTAGGCTTTGAATTTGTTTTGAATTTCTCGATTTTTTGGATATCTTGGGTTGTTGTGGTTCGTTTTTGTGTTTTCTTCAAAATTGGATTTGAAGCAAATTAAATCTGAGCAAAATGAAGAGAACTAAGTGCAATTGTGGGATTCCATTGGCGCAAAGGACATCTTGGACCCATGACAACCCTGGAAGACGATTTAGAAGCTGTAAATTTTACAACTTTAAAACTGGGCAAAGGGTTGCGACTTCTTCGAATGGATTGATGAAGACATGTTGGAGTGGCAAAAAGATGTGACTAATATGCTGGTGAGTGAGAAACAAAGGTTATATTCTGATATGAGTTTGCAAGGCAAGAGTAGCTTGCATGGAACAAGAGAAGAAGAGGCTAAGTGAAGAGCATGAGAGGATGAAGAGTTTGGGTGTGAATCTAGCAGTAGCTAACATCAACTGTGGTCAACAAGCTGACATTAACAATCATCAACTTCTTAGTTTACTTGTATTTTGTGCACTTGTATCATTAGTGAGAAGAACAAAAAGACCTTACCTTTATGAGCCTATTAAAGTGCTGCTCTGATCTCACCAACAATGGCAGAGCAAAGTTCATGCCATGAACAGTAAGGTTTGAGGAGTGAGAAAGAAGAAGAAATGGGATCAAAGGGGGGGTAATTGGGATTTCTGGGTAAAAAAAAAAAAAAAAAAAAAAAAAAAAAAATTACCCAACTTAAAGAGTCATGTGCAAGGCACGTGACGGTCAACGCCGGAGTCCGGCGTTGACTATCCTGAAAATAGTACTTGGTCCCACTCAACAACCCAAAATGTGTTATTTGGTCCTTTTGAACAACTTTTGGCTTAATAGTTAATAGGTCCTTTTGAACAAAAGAGGCCACTTAAGTGGTCCTTTTGAACAAATTTTCCAATAAATAAATAACTGCAGAATCTGAGTTAAGTTAAGAACAAAGAACAACTAGTTGTAGCAATGAGAAATAGGACTGGGATTTTACACTTCCATGAGTTCCATCCCATCATCAGTTGGATATGTGTCTGCATAGTCATTAGAGTTTCTGATGCTACAAGGAGTTCCCCTAGGCCCCCGCCAAAATTTTTCTGTTACACACACTTATTCTCGATCAACTCACTCTTTCCCTGCTCCCCTTTTCCTTCTTCCCCTTAAGTCTTTCATAGAAAATCTAAAATTTCAACAAATGTCCCAAAGCAGAAAATATAACGAGAATTGAAGAGTCAAAAGACTCAAAACCATCATGTGATTTCTGGAAAAGATTTTGCACTCGACATGCTCCTCATTTTCTTTCCAAAATTTTAAAACTGCCACCGACTTTAGACCAAAACATATAGCAAAGAGCAACTTGAAGATTGAACGTGAACACACTCTGTTAGCTTAGTTTTACTGGGAAAAAAAATATGTATATCTATGATTTTCATAACCAAAAGACAGGAGGCAAAATGCTTCCCTTTTTTATAACCTCTACTGAATAATTACTGCTAATCATTTGGATAATGCATTAATAAATATAAAATTACCATAGGCATAGCCATAAAAAAAGTACAATAACTTGAATTTAACATATAAACTTAATAGAGAAGAGTTAAAGACCAATACATTATATTGCAAGGCTACAATACCCTAATACATATCCACCATTTGTAGAAACATTGTTAAGCCTAAACCAAACTATATGCAATTATGCATAAACCAAAAGTAATTAAGAATTTTGTAGTCAATACCTGCAAGGCTGCAACCCATAAGCATGAATGCTTGCATTTGGAAAACAAGTTGCATATATTAGGTTTAGCGGCCCACATACATTTGACAGCTAAGGTATCCGTCTGGTAAGGCATTACCTGATGCTCTGAAAAAGCTACCAGAAAATACAACCTCACAAGTTGAGGACCTCCTTGGAAGTTTAAACAGCGACTTACAGAACTGACATTCCTTCCACATTGCATATGCTTCTTCACGTTCATGTTTTGGGTTAACACTTTCTACCAATCGAAGACGTATGCAAAGCTTTTCCAGAACATTTGCATTACTCAGAATATACACTAGCAGCCTCAGGGTATCGTCGGTCCCCTGTATTTCACTTAATTGTATAGTCTTGAGCTTACCTAATAAACAATCTGGAATAGAATCCGGTGGCAACCAATAGCTTTACTCCATTAGAAAACCAAGTGTTTCTAAGGGTTGTAAGTCTTCTGACCATAGACACACCACAAGATGCTCTAAGTTAGGAAAACAATGTAAGGAACGCAACAAATCCATAGTGCCCTTTGTTTCAAGGCGGGTTAAATTAGAAAAGATTGGCAGATTCACAAAACTACCATATCTGAATATGTTGGTCGGACTCTTTAGCTTCAGCTTCAGATTGCTAGCACTAGACAACCCTCTAACAAAATTGGCCATCTGGCGAAGATATTCTTTTTGTGCTCCTTCTAACGAGCCATTACCCTCTTCATCTAAATACTGCCATAACTTGGCATTATCCTTCAAGTCAATATGCGCTTTGACTAATGCAGTTGGATTCCGGAGAAAGTAATAAATAGAATTGCAATCATGAATCTCAAGGTTTGCCAATTTGGGTGCATCAATATATACTCTAGGGCGCTTCACCATACTCTGGTACTGAAATTCCATTGTTATAGACAATGACTTCAAATTGGGAGCAATTATATTCACATCAGAATTTGACAAAGTTGAATACATTTCTAAATTGAACACTATTTCTAAAAGTTCCAAAAGTGGGCAAGCCTTAATAAAAGCATTAAACCAACAAGGGATATCATCAAGGTCATCTAGATCAAACATCTTCAAATTAGGGAGATGAAAACGCAAACCCTTAAATTTGGGCCATATAAACGAAGAGTATAATCTAAGAGTTACCAGTGATTGAGAATTGAACAGACAAGAGGGTATACGGTAAGAATAACCTTGTTCTCGAGGCGTAGTGAATATGATATTCTCCACATTTCGGCTGCAAACTTGTCGAAACCATGATACTGATTCTGATACATAGGCGTCCTCTGGATATTCGTCAAAATAGTCAAAATCGAGAACAAACTGGTGGAGTTTCCGAGATGTAAGCTTCTGTAGAACGAGGTCGATTATGTCGGTGGACTCTGATACACAATCAAAGAAATTGACGCCGGTTACGCCGGTCCAGAGGTGACGCCAACGGTGGGATAAGATGGAGGTGGCGGCGGCGAATTTGATCGGAAGGAGTGACAGAATTTCGATGAGGATTTCGTCTGGAAGAGTGAGCTCAATCGATCATCTTTGTCTTCTTCCTTTTCTACAATCTGGGTTTCGGCCATTTTCTACTTTCACTCTTTCAGACAGAATAAAGTGGCTGGTAGCAGACTAGCAGCAAGTGTTTTGGCCTTTTGGGTGGACTGGTGGAGAGAGAAATCGAAGGAAGTTGTTTTTTTTTAGGACAGCCGAATGTTTTTTTTTTTTAGGATTTGTTAAACATCGCCCACAAATTACTACATAAAGCCCACAAAATTAATATGATTTGACAGTTTTGTCCCTTTGTCAATTTTCTCTGAAAACGAAAATTTCACTCACCAAAAAATGTGGAGTCGTACGGGGACGCCGGGGGAGGCCGGAGATCCGGGGGACGACGAATGTCATCGGAAAAGATGGCTGGCGTCCGGAGGAGCCGCCACCACCGTGGCACCGGCGCCTGGCCGGGACGCCGCCACCATAGCGGTGGCGCCTAGCCGGGACGCCTGTACCATGGTTGAGGCTTCCAGGCCAGGCGCCATAACCATGGTACTGGCATCCCGGCTAAGCGCCACCACCATGTTGGCGGCGTCCCGGCCAGGCGCCGGTTCCAGGGTGGTGGTCCGGCCATTTTTTTTTTTATTTTTATTTTTTTTTACATTTAACTTGCTTAAAATTCAAAATAAAAAATTTTCTCAGTTACCAAAAAAAAAACAAAATATTAAAAAAAAAAGAAATATTTTTTTCTCAATTTCCAACAAAAAAAAAAACACAATATTACACAAAAAAAAAGAAAACAAAAAATTATCAATTTCCAACAAAAAAAAAACATGATATTACACAAAAATACAAAAAAAAAATCTCAATTTCCAAAAAAAAAAAATATTATACAAAAAAACAAAAAAAAAATTAAAAAAAAATAATAAAACAACCACGGCAAGGTGGTGGGGCGCCTGGCCAGGACGGCCGACGGCTGGTGGTGGCGCCAGGTCCGGCAGCCACGTCCACCGGCCTGGCGTCTGGGCAGGACGCCCAGCCACGGTGAGTGGCGTTTGGGACAGGCGCTAGTCACTGTGGCTGGGCGTCCTGCCCAGACGCCAGGCCGGTGGACGTGGCTGCCGGACCTTGCCGCCACGAGCCACCACCACCTTGCTGCCACGAGCCAACCACCTTGCTGCCACGAGGCTCGACATCCCCGTACTTTGATTTTTATTGAGGTTGTGTTTTTTTTTAAGGTAAAGGGCAATATTGTAACTTCAACATAAGTTTGCGGGCTTTATGTGGAGATTTGCGGGCGATGTTTAGCATTCCACTTTTTTTTTGGTTAGGACAGCCGAGTGTTTTGTTTGGTACATGGAGTAATGGTCTCATGGATATTGAGTAATTATTAATTAAGTATTCCCTCGTCCTCGAAAAAACGACCCATTTGGCCTAATTTTAGTCCAAAAAAAATGACCCATTAACATTAAAATATCCACTAATTTGCAATAATAATTTTACAAAATTAGCTTCCCCATATAAAATTGGAAAAATTGTAATTATTAATCCCAACTTTACGCCATTTACTTTCATTAATCCCAACTATCGATTATTCCTGGATAATCCCAACTTTAGGGGGTATTGACTTTTATCAGGCCTTACAGGTTACCAAACCTGTAATAGCAAGTCATTTGCCACATGTCAACATTCTATAGGTTAAAAAAATTAAATTAAAAAAAAAAAAACAAAACAAACCCAGCCAAACACCCCCCAACCACCGATCTGCCAGACTGCCACGGTGCCACCCAAGCTTTGACGCCGGAAGGCTGCCTCCCCCCCGTTCACGAATTTCCCACCACTAACTCACCCAGAGCATCTCACACCAAAACAACAACTCCCCTACTCCCTGCCACCACTCCACCTCACAACACGCATATCTTCACCCCACAAAAACCCGCAGCCATCACCACCGATAACACCATCTGCAACCGCTGCCAACACCTCAAACAACCAGCTCCAATCCACAACAAACTGCAGCCCGCCAATTAATTCCCCTGTTCCCACATTTCACCTCCAATCACCACCAACCCACACCAAACACCAACCACCAGTTCAACCCCATTTCAATTCTCCCCCAAATTAAAACCAATTCAATTCAATTCAACCCCATTTCAATTCAATCATTTCTAACCCTAGAAAATCAGAACTGCTGAAAAATTAAGCTAAAGAAGAATAAGAAGGTTCAACAATGGCAGTTGCGAAAGTATGCGGGTTGGTGGTTGGGAGGGGTTAACTTGGTGGTTGCTAGTTGGGAGGGGTTTCAGGTTCTTGGGCAAGGGTTTGGGTTGGGTGGTTCATCGGGATGAGGTAGGTCGCTGGCTAAGAGAGGTGGTGCTGGTGGCGGTGTCTGCGGGCTAGGAGGGGGGAGGGGGGAGGAGTTTTCAGATTTTTTTTTTTTTTGTTAAAAGATTTTTTTTTATTATTTTGACCATTTAAAAGCTGACATGTGGCAATATGAAAAAACAAAAAAAGAGTTTACCTTTTCTTCAGGTCACCGGTAATTTGGACCTAATAAAAGAAAACACCCCTAAAGTTGGGATTATTCAGGAATAATCGATAGTTGGGATTAATGAAAGTAAATGGCTCAAAGTTGGGATTAATAATAATTACAAATTTTCCTATAAAATTTTGTTTTTCCATATACTTTTATTACTTCTCTCTCTATTTTTTTTATAAACCCCATGTAAATTTATCTTTCCAATATATTTTTACTTCTTTTTATTTAATTTTATTAATACCCGCGAAATCAGCCCAAAAGGGTCGTTCTTTCGGGGACGGAGGGAGTATTAGGATTGGAACCTTTAATCCAAATGAAAAAGGGAAAATGGCCGGAAATAATACCACATTTTATGGATTTTTAAAAATAAAAATGACTGTTTGATTATTTGAGGATAGGGAACGACTTTTTGACACACAAATAGTTTTTGGGTCCGGACAATGCCCGAATTAATACATGAAACTAGAGCCGTCAAAAGCTGACCCGACCCAAAATACCGATCTGAACCCGATTATTAACCGACTCATCTGAATCCGAAAATATGGTAACTCAAACCCGACTTGACCCAACCTGAAACCAACCCTAGACCCGAGTTGACCCGAGTATGTGAGACCCGAACCCGAACATGAACCGACCTAGAGATGACCCGACCTGAATGTAACCGGTAAATTATTGATCTGAACCGAACCCGACTTGAACCGAAATCGACCCAAACCTGTTTTAACCCGTCAAAACCCGACTTGTTTTTAACCCGACCTGAATTCAACCCGATCCGAATTTGACCCGACATGTCACAAACCCGACACGAAATCAACCCAACTTGTTATTGACCCGATCCTAATTCAATCCGACTTATCATTGACCCGACCCGAATTTTACCCGACCTAATACTAACCCGACCCAAAAATTCAACCCGATCTGTTACTAACCCGACTTGAAATCAACACGACTTATTATTGACCTGGCCTAAATTCAACCCATATTGTTCTTGACCCAATTTCAAATCACCTTAAATGCAATTTAGACCACCTTATTATTGTTGATCAAAGCTTTTTGTCTAGGGAGACCAAGTCGGTCCAGGGCCAGCAAAAGAAAGGAGCATCATCCCCAAAGTTATACTTCGTAGTATATATTTGTTGTATGGTCAAATATCTGATCTTCCTAAATCATAGACTATAGTTCCCTAGTATGTTGCCATATATATTATATACAAAAGAAATATTTAGTTTGATAAAAATGATAATTATCTATTTATAGTTAATTTAACCCGAATATGACCCGAATTGGAAATGACCCGACCTAATTGTAACCCGCAAATTATTGACTTGAACATCCTCATCATAGCTAGATTTTTCACACTTTTACTTTGTTCGATAATAAAATGATGTGAAAGGCATTCATCACTGAGTTTGGTTTTGGGGAGACACATTTGGGTGTCTACAATAATATGTTTAGTAAGTTAATTATAACACGTATAATTGATACTCCCTCCGTATTTTTTTTAAGTGTTACACTTTCCATTTTCGGCCGTGTTTTTTTAAGTGTTACACTTCCTTTTTTGGCAAAAAACTACATTAAAATATTATATATTAAAAATAATTTTATTCCCCATTTATAAAACAACTCTAAATTTCTCTAGTCAAATTTTTTAGGAAGTTTGATCATCCATGAACCACCAGACTTCTTTTGAATTTTGATAAAGTATATTGACACAGTACCATACTGAATTACTGATGCAACTATGCAAGTATGTTATAGATCCAACGTTGAAAGCTTTAGCAAAGATTCAACTGATGCTGGTAGGAATGGTAGCACCTGCATAGGTTCTTCTCAAGCTTAAACATCCACCTTCCTGATTCTAAGGGAGGTCTATTGTAGTCAAGAGATAAGATACTCATTCTTAAGAAGTATTTAGTCAACGAATACTTGAACTTTTCAGGAAATTCAATCATTCAAGTGAACCAGGAGCTTCAAATCAAGTTGACTAGTCAATTGGAAAATTCAAAACCAGGATATTCTAATTATCGAGTCAGACAGGAGCTTCACAACCAACGGGCTCAAGTCAGTCTGTTACTTCACCAGTTCACCACCAACGGGCTCAAATCAGTCTGTTACTTCACCAGTTCACCACCAACTGCAACCTCCACTAAATCCACCTCGGTTCCAAAGTCGTATGAGCTAACACTATTGATATTACAGAAGCAACTTAAGGTCTCTCTTTTTGCTGATCTAGATCTAGTGAACTACTTTTGTAACCGGTAAGTGAAGAGATATTAAAATAACAGTATGGTAAAACTTGTATGATATACCTTGAAATCCCATATTACATCATGCATATTTCTCCAATAATACTCTAGAAATAAAGTGCATCAGGTAAATGAAATTCAAATGTACAAGGGTTTATCAAACATAAATAAAAAATAAAAGAGTGACAATAGCCATTCTATATGCAGGTGATGCTCAACCATCGTTTATGATAAACTCCACTATATTCAATAAGCCCTTCCTTGAGTCTAAGCTATACTCTATGCGTCCCCCAAAGATTACCCTATTTTCTTTTCTAGTTTGTCACCAAAAGGTAACCCCATTACACATAGTGAAGGAAAAAAAAATATCTACCTGCCTAATTCAACATCATTTCTACTCTAAGTTCTTATGCTCAAAAGCTTTAATACATTAGAGAAAAAGGGATCTTTCCATGTTAACAATCGCAGTTACTCTAATTTCTACTGATTGTATACAACTATACATGCTTCCCAAAAAAAGAAAAAAAATAAAAAAATAACTGCTGAATCTAAGTTAAGAATAAAGAACTAGTTGTAGCAATAAGAAATAGGACTGGGAGTTTACACTTCCATGAGTTCCATCCCATCATCAGTTGGATATGCTATTGTCATCAGAGTTTCTGACATTACAAGGAGTCCCCCCCCCCCCCCCCAACCATGATTTTTTTCTATTACACACTCTCTCTCTTATCCTCGGTCAACTCATTCTTTCCCTGCTCCCTTTTTTCCTTCCTCCCCTTTGGTCTTTCATAGCAAGTCTAAATTTCAACAATTGTCCTAAAGCAGAAAATAAAATGAGTATTCAATAGTCAAAGACACAAAACCCTGATGTGATTTCTCGAAAAGATTTTGCACTCGACATACTCCTTTTTAGCAACATGAAGATTGAACATGAACGCAATCTGTTAGCTTTACTGAAAAAAAAAAATGTATATCTATGATTTTCAAAACCAAAAGACAAGAGGCAAAATGCTTCCCTTTTTTATAACCCTACTGGTTAATTACTCAGCTTTTGGATAATTTCCTTAAGAAACTAATGCATTTTAAATGAAATATTACCATAGGCATAACCATAAAGTTAAAAAAAAACTTGAATTTAACTATAAAAAAGAGTTAAAGACCAGTACATTACGGAGTATATTGCAAGGCTACAATACCCTGATACATATCCAGCATTTCTAGAAACATTGTTAAGCCTAAACCAAACTATATGCAATTATGCATAACCGAAAGTAATTAAGAATTTTGTAGTCAATACCTGCAAGGCTGCAACCCATAAGCATGAATGCTTGCATTTGGAAAACAAGTTGCATATATTAGGTTTAGCGGCCCACATACATTTGACAGCTAAGGTATCCGCCTGGTAAGGCATTACCTGATGCTCTGAAAAAGCTACCAGAAAACACAACCTCACAAGTTGAGGACCTCCTTGGAAGTTTAAACAGCGACTTACAGAACTGAGATTCCTTCCACATTGCATATGCTTCTTCACATTCATGTTTTGGATTAACCCTTTCTACCAATCGAAGACGTATGTAAAGCTTTTCCAAAACATTTGCATTACTCAGAATATACGCTAGCAGCCTCAGGGTATCGTCGGTCCCCTGTATTTCACTTAATTGTATAGTCTTGAGCTTACCTAATAAACAATCTGGAATAGAATCCGGTGGCAACCAATAGCTTTGCTTCATAAGAAAAGAAAGTGTTTGAAAGGGTTGTGACCATAGACACACCACAAGTTGCACTAAGTTAGGAAAACAATGTAAGTAACACAACAAATCCATAGTGCCCTTTGTTTCAAGGCGGGTTAAATTAGAAAAGGTTGGCAGATTCACAAAACTACGATATCTGAATATGTTGGTTGGACTCTCTAGCTTCAGCTTCAGACTGCTAACACTAGACAATCCTCCAACAAATTGGACCACCTGGCGAAGATATTCTTTATGTGCTCCTTCCAGCAAGCCATGATCCTCCTCATCCTCTTCATTTAAACACTGCCATGACTCAATGTTATCCAAGTAAACATGCGCTTTGACTAATGTAGTTGGATTCCGTAGAAAGTAATAAATTGAATTGCAATCATGAATTTTAAGGTTAGCCAATTTGGGGGCATCAATACATACTCTAGCGTGTTGAATCAAACTCGAGAAATAAAATGTCATACTTATAGACAATGACTTCAAATTGGGGGCAATTATATTCACAACAGAAGTAGACAAATCCGCATATGAAAATACTTCGAAGAATAAATCCAAAAGTTCCAAAAGTGGGGAAGACCTAATTAGAGTCTCCAACCAAAGAGGGATATCATCAAGGTAATTTATGATAAGTTTCTTCAAATTAGGCAGATGAAAACGTAAACCCTTACATTTGGGCCATTGAAACACACCGTCTAAATCCAAAGTTACCAGAGATTGAGAATTGAACAGAAACGAGGGTATAAAGTAGGAATAATTACCATCTCGCCCAGTAGTGAATATGATATTCTCCACATTTCGGCGGCAAACTTGTCGAAACCAAGGTACTGATGCTCTGGCGACTTCCGGGTCTTCCAAATCGTCCAAATCGAGAGCTAACTTGTGGAGTTTCCGAGATGTAAGGTTCTGTAGAATGTGGTCAATTATGGCGGTGGATTCTGATCGAGAATCAATAACAACGCTGGTGACTCCGGTCCAGAGGTGCCGCCAACGGTGGGATAAGACGGAGGTGGTGGCGGCGGAGTGGATTGGAAGGAAAGAGAGAATATTGATGAGGATTTCTTCGGGAAGTGAGCTCAATCGATCGTCTTCATGAACTACAATTTTGGTTTCGGCCATTTTCTACGCTCACTCTATCAGAGAGTAGTAGCAGTAAAGGGTTTTGGGTGGATGGAGAAAAGGGAGGAAATGTTCAGCTAGTCGTCCGACCGGGTGTTTTGTTTGGTACATGCATATGGGGAATTAAGGGAGTTAAATACATTGTTAGGGTATAAGTTTTTGGAAAAATTGCTCCCACTAATCTGAACTTTGCTTCGTCCGCCGAAAATAATCTCAACTTTCGTTTATTATCTATTGCACCGAATTTTGGGGGTATTAATTTTCGTTGCATCCAACAGGTCATCTTACCTGTTGTAGCAAGTTACCTAGACACGTGTCAGCGTATGAGCGGCTTAATTTTTTTTTTTTTAAAAAAACAAAAAACAAAAAAATAAAAAAAAAAAACCCCAAACCACCCACGTCCAGCGGCTGCCACCACACCCCCACCCCCACTACGCCGGAAATTCACCCCCACCCTCGAAAAAGCCCTCCCCTGCTGCCGGAAACCGTCGCCCAGCCTTCCCCCTACCTCGAAACCCACCCTTTCCCTTCCCCCACCCACGAAAACCATTCCCCCAACCCCGAAAACCCTTCCCTCACTCCCGGAAACCGGCGCACAACCCTCCCCCTTTCCCTTTCCCCACCTCCGAAAACCCCTCCCCCACCCCTATTTCCTCCCCTCTCCCCCGCCGTTTTCCGACCCGAATCCCCTTCCCCTTACCCTTCGTTTTCGTCGTTTCCCCCTCCCCGTCGTTTCCGCCCCCTTCCCCTTCGTTTTCGGCAGGTGGGGAGTGGTGGTCGGGGTTGGGGGCGATTTTCCGGCTGCGTGGGGGGTGTTTTTAGGTGGGGTCGAAGGGGTGGGGGAGGGCTAGAGGATGGGTGGTTTGGGTGGGGGGCTGGTGGTTAAGGGGGAAGGGGTGGGTTTATTTTTTGTTTTTTTTTTTTTAAATTTTGTTTTTTTTTTTGGAAAAATTGCTCCCATTAATCTGAACTTTGCCCCATCCGCCGAAATTAATCCCAACTTTCGTTTATTACCTATTGCACCGAACTTTGGGGGGTATTAATTTTCGTTGCACCCAACAGGTCAGCCAACCTGATGTAGCAGGTTACCTAGACACGTGTCAACACGTGATAGGTCCAAAAAAAAGAAAAAAAAAGAAAAACAAAAATTAAAAAAAAACCTACCAAACCCAGCCCCCTACCCTTTCCCGGAAAACACCACACCCCCACCTCCACCCCGCCGGAATTTCGGCCCCCTCCCCGAAAACCCCTCCCCCTGCCATCGAAAACCGCCGCCCAGCCACCCCACCCCTTCCCCCACCCCCGAAAACCCCTCCCCCACCCCCAAAAACCCATCCCTTGCATCGAACACCACCCTTAAAACCCCAGATCCGCCGCCCAGCACTCCCCCTTCCCTCGAAATTCACCCATTTCCTTCCCCCACCCCCGAAAACCCCTCCCCCGTTGCCGGAAAACGGCGCCCATCCCTCCCTCACCCTCGAAATTCATCCCTTTCCCTTCCCCCACCCTCAATTTCACCCCCTTCCCACGAAAACGGCACCCCCTTTTCCCGTCAATTAGCCACGAAAACAACTATGCTAAGGTTGTTTCCGGGGTCTGGGATGGGTGGTGGAGGAAGGTCGGTGGTTTTTAGTGGAAGTCGGGGGTTGTTCGACCGTTTTCCGGTGAAACTAAGGGTCGGGGTTAGGGTGAACGGCGATAGAGGGTGGTGGTGGTGGTGGAGGTGGTTGTGCGTGGGTTTTTTTTTAATTTGTTTTTTTTTTTTTAAGTCTATCATGATGCGACACGTGTGCAATTAATCACAAGTCAACAATGTTTACCTGATTAACCGGTTGCAAGTCATTTGGGTGCAATAGAAATTAATACCCCCCAAAGTTCGGTGCAATAGATAATAAACGAAAGTTGGGATTAATTTCGGCGGATGGGGCAAAGTTCAGATTAATGGGAGCAATTTTTCCTTTTTTTTAAAATTTTGTTTTATTTAAGGAAATTTTGAGTTTTACCACCAAAAAATTTCAACAAATTGTTTTTTACCACCTACTATTTTCAATCTTTTATTTTACCACTAAATAAAAAAATTAAAGTTGTTTTTTACCACCTTTACCCAATTCCGGTGACTGAAAAGTGCTGTGGGGCCCACCTTTTTTAATTTCCCTCCAATATTATTTACACCCACCCCAATTTATTTCTTCTGTTGATTAACCCCAACCAACTTCATTTAATTCCTCTAACTTTCTCACCTTCCTCTCATTTAGTACTCTGAATTTCACTCCTCTTCTCACTCTTCTGACCCTAAATTTTCCTCTTCCCATTTGAATTTTGATGTTTCTGTTGGAGTAACGAAGAGGTGGCACCACAGAAACCCTACAACTCAGCTTCAATTCGTCACTTTCAACAAGGGGGGACCTAAAGTGTTGGACTTTACTGACATAGATTCGAGATTCTGACAAAGCAAGGTACTTTTAGCATCTTTTAGCATCTTAACTGTAGTTAGTGTGTGTGATTATGGTGTAATTGTTGATTTTATATGCTAAATATGGGGTGTTGTGGACTTTGTGTTGATTAACCCTAAAATTCGAATCTTAGACATGTGTGGATGCATTATGCTGTGATTACTGTATAATTAAAAATTAGGGTTATATATTGTTGGTATGTGGATTTACCATTGAGTCTGTGGTCAAGCTTTGACCTGATTGATATATTAAGTGTTTAAAGACTTGTTTGCATTGAACACTGTGTAAAGTATCAGTTACATTAATTAATGAATTATTTGGGACTAAATTGAGTTATGTTATGTTTATGTGTTGTGTGTGTAGCAGAATGAACAAAGTCCAACTTAAATTGACATTGGGTGGTGCTTTTATACCTTCTTTAATTGAAAAAAAAGAAAAAGAGGCTATTAAGCTGGGATGGGGGATGGGTATACTGGAAGAAAAATGTGAATCCCTCCAAGATTGATGTGCATTTTATAAGAGAAGCTGCTGTCCATGGGTTTGTGTCTGTTAATGTACAAGTCCCTACTAAGTTTAGTTGCTGGTATAGACAAAAGGGGAGGACATTTACAACTGGTAAAAGGGAGTTGGTGAACAGTGAAGAGATAAAAGGATTGTTAGATACAGTGAACAGGGAGGGAGTAATTGAGGTGTTTGTCACAAGTGGGGAACCAATCCAGGCCACTCCCATTACACCTTTTCATATTTATGATGGGAATTCTATGAGTGCAAAAGAAAGAAATAAGTTGAGTAAAGATCCATTTGTGCCCAAATTAAAGCCCAACCCAGTTACTTCCAGCCCAACAATAAAGGCCCTTACTGAAGAACCACTTAGGAGAAGCCCTAGATTATCTGTTAAAGGTAGGGATAAGGTTGATGCTGATGATGCAGCAGCTAAGAGGTTTAGTGCTACAGATAAGGGGAAGGGAAAACTAGTTGAAGAGGAGGTGGAAGGTAGTGAGAGGAATACAGTAAGTAGGGAGTTGTTTAAGGATGGTGAAGGGGACTATAATCTTTCAGATTTGTCTGATAGTGAGCTTAGTGACCCTGATGTAGATTGGAGTGAAGGAGAAGAAGAGTTTTATGATGCTGTTGATGATGATGAGTGGGTGAGACAGAATACAGAGTTGGTGAACAGGGAAGTGATTAGGTGTTTCAGTGAAGAGAAACAAGATTTGCAACAAAAACAAGCTGGTGCAGGAACTAAGATTGAAAGGCATTTGAGGGAGATTGATATCAGTTTCCAGCAGGAGCAGGAAGAGGATTCTGATGAACTTAGGAGTGTTCATAGTGATTCTGATGTTGAGGAGTGCATAGGCCCATGGTTTAATGGGGAGACTGATTTTGGAAAGCCTATTCAGCTTGTGCAAGGGCTGAGGTTCAGCAATGTGTATGTACTCAGGAAAGCTTTGAGAGTTCATGCTATAGAAAATAGGTATGAGTACTATTTTCTTCATAATGACACCAAGAGGCTGACTATACATTGCAAGAGGAGGTGCAACTGTGTGTATAACAAGAAAACTTGTAGGCTGCCTAAGTGTGTGTGTAGGAAGAGTGTTAAATGTCCATTTAAGGTGTATGCTGCAAGATTGGTGAAGTCAGAAACTTGGAAAATCAAGTCACTGAGATTGAAGCATCTTTGAATGAGAACAAAGATGAATAAGAAAGTTACAGCTGAGTTCTTAGCTGATAGATACTTGGAGGAGTTTAGAAGCAATCCAACTTGGAAGATTAGACAAATACAGGAGAGAGCTTTGACTGATTTGGGAATTAAAGTGAGCTACTTTAAAGCTTGGTTAGCTAGGTATAGGGCAAAGCTAATTATTTTTGGGTCTTCAGCTGAGCAGTATGCCAAGGTATGGGACTATGCTAAGGCATTAGTGGTGCACAACCCTGGGACTGGTTGTGTGGTTGTTGTATATGGGATAGAGCAGCCTGAACCCCCTCTTTTTTTGAGAATGTTTGTGTGTCTAGCACCATTAAGGGATGGTTTTGTTAGTGGATGCAGACCAATTATTGGAGTAGATGGCTGCCATCTTAAGGGTGCTTACCCTGGCCAAATTTTAGTTGCTGTAGCTAAGGATGGTAATAACCACATATTTCCACTAGCATGGGCAACTGTGGAAATTGAGAACAAGGACACATGGTCATGGTTCCTTGAGTCATTGGTAGACAGCATTAGAGGTCAAGATGAAGGTGAAGGGTTGACTTTTATGTCTGACAGGCAGAAAGTAAGTTGATAAATTTCCAGGTTGACTTTTATGTTTTTTTAGTTTGAGATAGGTGTAGCATACTAATTATTGTGTAACTTTTTTTTGTGTAAATGCAGGGCCTGCTAGAAGCATTTGAGAATGTTGTACCTAAGGCTGAGACTAGGTACTGTGTTAGACACATCTGGTCTAACTTCAAACAACAATTCCAAGGATCTCTATTCAAAGAGCTATTTTGGAATGCAGCTAGGGCTTACACTCAGGTATAATAGTTAAATCCTCCTAGTTTTGTTGATTGTGAGTTTCTGGTTTTGGTTAGTTCCATTTGATTTTTACTGTGTGTGTCTTAATTTAGTATTATAATGCATATGGTCAGACTGATTTTGAAGTGGCTATGGAGTCTATAAACTTTTTATCTGAAGAAGCCTATGATTACCTAGCAAATATCCCCCCCCCCCCAACATTGGTCCAGACATGCATTCTCCCCAACATGTAAGTCAAACATGTTGTTAAACAATTTGTGTGAGACTTTTAACGCTGTTATAAGGGATGCTAGGGATAAGCCAATCTTAACACAAATGGAATGGCTTAGAAGATACATGATGAAGAGGACCAATGATAAATGGATGACAGCCTCTGAATGGGAAGGGTTGTGTGTTCCTTATGTGAAAAAGGTGTTTGATGGGTTGGAAAAGTATGCAAGGACATGCACTGTCCAGTTAGGTAGGGGTGAGCTTTATGAAGTGGAGTATAAGGATGATACATGTGTTGTTAACCTTGAAGCAAGGACATGTACTTGTTACAGATGGGATTTGACCTGATTGCCCTGTGTCCATGCTTTTGCTGCTTTGGTGGATAAAAGGGTTGATCCAAAGCTTTATGTCTACCCATACTACCACATAGAGACTTACCTGGCTGCCTATGAGACTCCCATTCAGCCCATGCCTGGAGCCAAGCATTGGGATAAGGTGCATATGAGAGAGCCTATGCCTCCAGCTTTTAAGGTCCAACCTGGGAGACCAAAAGCTAAAAAGAGGAAGCTTGAACAAGGGGAGGGGAGTTCTGCACCTAATTCAGAGAACAAGAAAGTGAAGAGAAGGAATCAATGCAAGAAATGTGGGGGTTTTGGCCATTATGCCAAAACTTGTTCTCTAGATCCTGCCCCTACACCAGTTCAAGTTCAGAACACAGCACCATCAGGAGGTAGGCCAGCATTGGACAACCCTTGGATGAAGGAACAGAGGAGGAAGAGTGAATTGAGAGCTATGAAAAAGGTAAATTCACTTACACTATTTTTGATACTTAGATTGTCATGTGTACTGTACCTATTTACTGATTATGAATGTATGTATACAGAGTGCAGCATTAGGAGCTACTGCAGGACCCAATAGCATTGGAATCAAGAAGTTTCCTCAAGAATTGGCAAAAGAAAAAGCAGCTGAGGCATCTTCTGCTTGTAATGCATCTCAGCCAACTGAGCAAGTGCAACCTTCTGCAATGGAAGCATCAGCAAGCCAGCCCATGACTAGGAGCAGAACAAAGCTTACTGAAACTTCCCACACCTCAGCCTCTCAGCCTCTTCCCAGACAGCAGAATACCAGGCACAAGTTATCAGTATCAAAGGGTTTACATCAGCATTAGTTCATGCACAAGGATGATATGTGGGAACTTGGCCATGATATGTAATTTACTGCCTTAAATTTGGTTTACTGTAGACAGACAAGTGGTTTTTTTTTTTTATCAGTTTGCTTAAGTATTTGAACAACTAAGGGTGGCAAGTCCATCATTTTGTGCACTTAACTATTTGGAATGAACAATATTAACTAGGGCAGGAACCCTGATTTTGTAGTATGTTGAACCACTTCTAAAATATAATCTGATCAGCACCTGTTTATAACATTTGCATATGTAATTGGATTCAATTATTTTCATTTCAGTGCATAACCAAATTTTCATTTCATTTCATACCAATACAACAATAACACAACATCCTTATAACAATTTCACAATCAATTGTTCCATTCCTAAAACTAAACCAACAAAACAAATAACAACAAACACAACAAACAGATTCATAGATGATGTCTTCCTGCCTTCAACCTCCTGTGTCATCTTTTTCCTATCAGAGCTAAGGGCCTTGCATTTCAATTTCAAGCTATCAATCTCATTCAGCAAGCATCTTCTTTGTCCACAAAAATCATCAACTTCTCTCTTTAAGTCAGCATGCTCACCCTTCATCAACTTCTTATCCAATAGCAAGTTGTTAATTACTTCAGTTTGCCAACTTGTGCCATCTGGTTGATCAATCCACTCAAATGATTTATAGCCCCTTGATTCAGTCACTGGATCATAGAATTTGCAAGATCTAAACTTCCTCCCAGGATTTTCCCTAGTCCAAGAAGTTAACCTTGCAAAGGGTACTCCACATTGGCATTTCCTCTCTTTTGAAGGAGAAAAACTTAAGGAAGACATTCCTTCTGCAAAATGACACTTAGCAACTTCAATAGTAGTACATAATCACCTTAATTAGCTTTCCATACACCTAACTTCTATTAACAATCAGTAACTCATAAAACCCCCAATTTCAATTTTAATATGAACCCTAATTTAATAAAAACTGAATGTGGGTTTCAATTGCTAACTTGTTTTGACCAAATTCTGGATTAATAACCTCTACATGAACGAATGAACAAATTAATTGAATCAATCCTTTTATTTAATCAGCTAATTAAACTTGTGCATGACATACCTTAACTGCTTCAATTCCCACTGCTAAAGCAAATTCGTTTTCAAATCTTTAGATAACTGATGATTTATGGCTGATTGCTTGATGTTATTGCAGTACATTGAGAGAATTGGTATAAATCGAATTTTTGGAACAACAAGTGATGAACTAGGGGTTTTATAGGATAGAAGATCGGAAAAGGGTAAAAATAAAAAAGTATCCGTTTTAGTGGGCCCCACAACACTTTTCAGTCACCGGAATTGGGTAAAGGTGGTAAAAAAAAACTTTAATTTTTTTATTTGGTGGTAAAATAAAAGATTGAAAATAGTAGGTGGTAAAAAACAATTTGTTGAAATTTTTTGGTGGTAAAACTCAAAATTTCCTTTATTTAAATTTTGTTTTTTTTTTTAAAAATTTTTTATTTGACCATTCATGTAGTGACACGTGTCCAAAAAAAATGTAACACACAAATGTTGACCGGATTAACCGGTTGCAGGTAAGTTGGGTGCAACGAAAATTAATACCCCCCAAAGTTCGGTGCAATAGATAATAAACGAAAGTTGGATTATTTTCGGCGGACGAGGCAAAGTTCAGATTAATGGGATCAATTTTTCCTAAGTTTTTTATTTTTTCACCTTTTGGGACCTAAGTTTTTTTTGTTCACCTTTTGGGACTTAGAGTTAAGAATCCAGTAACTTAACTCACCTGAGTAAAAACTTAGTCCCTTAGCATTAAATATTGTCCAAAAAACATAATCCCTAAATAAAAACATAATCCCTTCATAAATTCTGTCAAAGCAAAAAACATACACCCTTCATAATTCTATCAAAGCAATTAGGAACAATTTTTTTTCAACGAACACAAATCCATACAGGGAGTATAAATACAGTCATATGCAAAATCTTAAGTTGAATAATTTTGAATTCTACTTGATTTTTTTGTTTAGTATATATAAGAGTCTTGGGATTACACCAAAAGTGTAGTAGTGTACGTTTAATTAATTATCCTAACTATATCAAAATTTTATCTTTTAATATCTGCATAAAAAAAAATTATATCTTTTTAATATTTACTCATATAAAATACTATCTTATGATAAAAGTTTGAGAATATTTCCTAATTTAATTAAACTAGTTTGTTTTCGGTTGAAGTACTTTTATTTGTATGTATAATAGGATAAAAATTGTTTAAGTCTAAATTATTTGTGTTAGAATTTTTGTTTTCTTAAGAATTGTTTGTAATTGTTATTTGACTATCTTTTATTATGAAATCTTTTTTCACATGAAAATAAAAATAAAATAAAATAAAAGTAACTTCCCAATAATCATAAATTGGATTCCATTAGAATTTAATATATTTCATTTTATCTTCTATCAATATACATAAAAGATAAAAACTAAAAACTTCTGTATAACTTTATGGATTTATAGAATTTTTTTTTTTTTTGTATTTTTCCAAAAAGAGTATACTTATTAGTAGATTAAAAGTACGCCACCTATGAGCCATAGCATATATGAATAGCTATACCTATTTGATTATACGATTATGAGGCTGGTTTAAATTTATACCAAAATGAAGCTTCTTGCATACACTTACAATACCCCAAGCACACACGTGTCTCTTTTTGGAAGGCCACCAATCAAATTAGTTAGAAAAATGCTTTTAGGGGTCTAAGTTTTATATGGGACTAATTTTTTTTTTCCTACCAACTTTCTAACTGACTAAGTTCTTAACTAAGGGCTAAGTTATTTAACCCAACCTAGTTAAATGTACACCGGAAATTGCACATGAGGTCCCAAACGGTGAAAAAAAAACATAGGTCCTAAAAGGTGAAAAAAAATTAAAAACTTAGACCCCACTATTGCACTTAACTTGAATTAAGGGGGTGTTAGACCATTAGGTAAGTGGGAATTGAAGGTGGGATTGGGAGTTTTAATCTCGATATAAAAAATAAGCCTTATTTGGTTGGCGAGAATGTGAATAAAAAGGGATTGGGAATGAGATTATTTATGGGTGAATTCACCATTTTATTACCTAGGGAGGGTAGGTAACAAATAGATGGAAATAAGAATAAGGAAAAAATGGCATTTTTGCCATTCATGAAAAGAATGAAATAATAATCTTAGTAAGGGTATTTTTGTAAAATTGTTATTTATTCTCTATATATTTTCATGTATTCGGTATTCCCATCAATTAATTCCCAATCCCATACCCACCTTTTAATCCCCAAACTCTCATTCCCACAATCCAAATGCCCCGTAAGTTTATGTTATCAATTTCTCTCATTTGTTTTTCATTTGAATTTGAATCATGCTAAATTATTGTGTTCATTAAAGTTAAAGTGAAAATAACTTTTAATTTTTTTTATAGAACTTTAAGTTAAAGTGAAAATAACATTTAAGGCCTATTCACAATTCCTGAATTGAGCTGAACTGATTGGAGCTAAATTGAACTGAACTGAGCTGAAATGAATATTTTATGAGAGAAGGTAATTAGGAGCTGAACTGAACTGATTTGAGCTGAAATGAATATTTTATGAGAGAAGGTAATTAGGAGCTGAACTGAACTGATTTGAGCTGAAACGAACTGAATTGATTGGAACTGAAATTAAGTAAATGTGAACATGACCTTAGTTAAAGTGAAAATAACATTTATCTAGAGTGAAAAAAACATAAAGTGGGTTTTGGGATTGGATGTTTGAATCAAATTGAAAAAATAAAAAATAAAAATTGTCAAGAATAATACGTAATTTCACCAATCTTCTAAATATTAAAACGTTTTTGTTCATTATTTTTAGTAGGGGTGAAAGTTCGGTTTGCGGTTTGGATTATAGCCAAAATCGAATCCAATCCGAATTGATTTGGTTTCGGAAATCTCAATTCAAATCCAAACTGAATTACACAACAAGAAAATGGCCAGTTTCCGACCAAAAATATCCGTCGCTGAAGTCTTTAAATCCGCCGCAAAACACGTTTACGACGGAATTCTGTCGTTGAGTTCTGCTGGAAAACAGTTGGTAGGAAAATTATGTTTTTTCAAATAAAATTCCGTCGGAAAGGAGTATTCCGACGGATTTTCCGACCGAAAATAATCCGACGGCTATTATTTTGACTTTTGTGAGTATTCCGTCGCAAACTTACGACGGAAAATTCCGTCGTTGGATGGACCACAACGACGGAAAATTCCGTTGCAAATCAAACTTTACGACCGAAACTTTTCCGTCGCTGCTTATGAATCTTGCGACGAAAATAAATCCGTCGCTGGATTACGACGGATTATTCGGTCGCTAGCTAGCGACGGATCAATATTCCGTCACAAATTACAGCACTTTCCGACGGATTATTTGCCCTTTTTTCCGTCGCAAATTCTGTTTTTCGACTATTATATTTCCGTCGCAAAATTGTTTTTTTTTATTTTTTTATTTCGAACACAATCCAATAGATTTCAATAATAATAAATATCATTAATTGCGTATGTTCCTGCACCTAATACATGTGATAATTAAAACCATAATTAAATTACGGAAATATTAATAAATATATTTTCACAAAAGCTATATGCTTCAGTAGAACATATCCAAAAGCTACATAATATATAGTAAGTTCTACAATAGCGGGAACATAATCAAACGCTACATAAATTCAAATTAAGTACATGTCCATACTACATAAACCTAAGCTAGGCTAAAAAACTGCAGGGGTACCCTGGCTTGCTCCTCCACTACCCGGGTCATCCCTAGGGTCTCGACGCTGAGGCTGAATGGTGGAACATGTGTCGTCGTTAGTTGTCGAATCGTCTCATGAAGTCATTCCACCTCTCCTCGGCTCTCCTCTCCATTTGGGCCACTTGAGCTTGAATTTGAGCTTGCATCTCAACTTCCATTTCACTCCGAAGTTCACTCCGTATTTCACTCCGA